TCCCATCCCATCCCATCCCATCCCATCCCATATCCCATCCTACCCCATCTCATCGCATCTCATGCCATGCCATGCCATGCCATCCCATCCCATCCCATCGCATGCCAACCCATCTCATCCCATCCCATGCCATCGCATGCCATCTCATACCATCCCATGCCATCCCATCCCAAACAGTAAAAAATAATAAGAAATCAAAAGATAAAAGACATTAAATATAAAAAATTAAAATTAAAAAGTAAAAAATTAAAAATAATACATACTAAAGAGTAGGTAAAGGGGAAAAAGGGGAAAATAAGTTCCCCAGCTGGTACTCGAACCCGGAATCCTGGTGTAGGAGACGAATGTTCTAGCGATTAGGCCACTGTGCCGTTAAGGGTATACCCCATGGATTCACACGTACGTGATGTTAATCTGTACGCACCGCCATCTATTGATGAATAGAATTTTTATGAATTTTTAACTTTTTAACTTTTTAAAATTTTTGTTTCAGCCAGAACCACCTCTCAGACGTGCTGATTCTGAAAATATCTTTAGTTTTTCTCTAGGCTGCGGAGTTCTCTAGTTATGCGAGTACGGACTAATTCGGCTGAACAACTTTATATATATAGATGTAGTAGTATATAGGACAGCATATCTTGTCTGTATCTAGGATGCTCTAGAGAATAAATACGTACATATACTGTATAGTATTATAATATATAGTATGTAGTAGTATGACGGCATATCTTGTCTGTATCTAGGATGCCCTGGAGGACCCTATAGCACAGGAGGAGATTGACAACAGCAACGCGGTGCTGTTCCCGTTCTACGACGCCGACACGAACGTCATCTACCTGGTGGGAAAGGTAAGCACCGGTGACAAACGCCCGCCAATAAGTGATGTCGGAAAGTCCAGCTGTATTATTTAGGTCACAGAAAAAGGGGGATAAAATGGCCGCGGCGCGCTACGGAAAGCACGCGATTAATGTAAACACTCGTGCGTTTTTAGTTTTTGCATTAACATAAAATTGCAAAATATCCCAAATTACCACAATCATATTTGTAAATGTTTCTGTAAACAGAAACGCATCTGTGAATTGAAGTACGATGTTAGTGAAGAGAATTTTAGATCAAAAACCTAGACTAGTACTATCGTAACTATGTTATATATGGAATATGGGCAACTTATCACCCCCTTATCTGATCTCAATATGGCGTCAGGGACTTTCCGATATGGCTTATTAAACATGCACAGCTGTTTGATTTGACAGGGTGGGTGACGCTGAGGTCTGCATCGGATCTTTAGTCTTAAGTCTCAAGTCCGGAATGTGTGTAAATTTGTCGCGTCGAATCCTGGATGGATCGTAGGGAAGTGCAACGATCAATACAGCGACGTCGATTTCTAGTGATGTTTGCTTGTTCACGATGTGCGCTCACGTGTGAACGTGCAGCTGTGTGCTGTTCATCACGTCGTCTGCTTGCCGCGCATGCTCATACTGAGCGCGAGAAAGCACAGAGACAGCGACAAGCGAACTTACTGAATGAATCGCGAGGGTGTGCTATCGCTGATTTAGCGACGATACGTTTAAAATTTAAGATCTAAGGCCACGCGTGGCAACTTGAATGCATAACGTCGCACGCGTTGCAGACGTTATCTAAATGTGTTTATCAGAAATTCTTGCGTAATCTTTTCTCTCTCTATGCCCAGGGATAATTTGCATAACATAGGTAACTAGAGCACTCGGCGAGCACAGACCTCCGCCAAGGCAGCTGAATTCTCTCAATGTGGAATTTTTTATTAATTAATTAAGTGGAAAAATTAATTAATTAATTAATTAATTAAATAATTAATTGGATCCGGATTAGTGCGAGCGTGCAGGTGGGGGAGGACTGTGGTTGCCCCTTAGGCTGTGTTTGCATGTTTGTAAGTCTACAGCCAGCGCACCTAGCGGAAGTGAACTGAAACGTGCATGTTCACAAACAAACCAACCTGAACCAACACTCAAACATTCGCCGGTGAAAACATAACCTCCGCCACGCCGCTGGCGGAGGTAATAAAGAGGGAAAAAGCAAATGCACGAGTAACCACTTTAACCCTCGGCTGCTCCCCAGCACTGAACCATACAAATCTTTGTTTCTCTCTATGTCGAGTGATATTTTGTATAACATACGCGAAGAGGAAGAAGAAGAAAAAACGTGCGTGTAAACGAACTTTTTTTCGTCCTGCTGCTCTCCCGTAGGGGGACTGCACCATAAGATACTTTGAGATCACAGATGAGTTCCCGTACTGCCACTTCATCAATCTCTACCAGTCTACGGAACCGCAGAGGGGCATTGGCATGATGCCAAAGCGCGGCTGTGACGTCAACATCAACGAGATTTCGAGGTGGGTGACTATATATAGCGTCGGAGGAGGAGTGATGCTGTGAAGAGCAGATGAAGCCGGATTAGTGTCTGCTAAGCAGGAGGATCTTGCATTACGATTGCATGTGGCGTTTGTTCATTTGTGTGGGTGTCGTAACGGCTATGCCACTGTAAAGATGTCTCGGTGTTGTAACGTCTGCGGATCCAGTATTGCGGGCATGGAGATGACTTCATGAGGGAGGGGTGCAATGATGCACGAAGAAATCTTAACAGGGGGAGAAGGAGTGCGAGGAAGTAGCGAGAAGGATTGATGGCGTCTGTGCTGTAGACGTTGCTTCTCGAGAGAGAGAAAATGAGAACGAATGAATGTCGCCATGTCGTGCATGCGAGAGCTCCCATTGTGGAATTCATCGCTCATTACTATCATAAAACCATCATCATTATGCCACCACAAATGAAATTGAAGGGAGTATATAGGAGTCATCTTAGAGTCGGTCAGTCGGTCGGGCATTCAGGCGGTCGGGCGGTCGGTCGCCAAAGGTTTCTGGCGCGAACTACTGTAACGAAAGTGTAGATATGCGTAATGTATTTTGTGTGTACGTCGGTCACGGCGTTGCCATGGAAACTATACCTCATCTTTGATTATATCCCCCACTGTTGTAAAAAGTTTGTGGTGCGAACTACTTCCACAGTTTTCAAGAGAGAAAAAAACGAGAACGAATGAATGTCGCCATGTTATGCATGCGAGAGCGCCCTCTGTCTGGAATACATCGCTCATGACTAATATAAAACCATCATCGTTTACATTTGTCTGACTTACTCTCCACATTTTTTCTGCAGATTTTACAAACTACATACGAAAGGCCTATGTGAAGTTATTCATATGACAGTACCACGAAAGGTAAAAGATATGATTGTATATAACATATATGTGTGCGTGTGTGCATGCATGCATGTGTGTGTGCATGCGTGTGTCTGTGCGTGCGTGCGTGCGAGCGTGCGTGCGTGCGTGCGTGTGTGTGTATACACACTCACTACTTTTCACACACTTATTAGAAATATGCTTCTTATGGAAATTAATAATGAGAGAGTATGACAATAGTAATATTAACGAGATATAGTTACCAGTAAGCTGAAAACAAATACGAGTAACCAAGAGCGGAAGCTTGGGTCATCTGAACCCGCGACACACAAACTCACACCTCCTCAGCGTGTCTCGCGAGACACATGGAAACAGTCGAGGGCCTGTGAGGTTGAGATGATTGATGGAGCTGCCCTCACCACATGTTTTGTCTTTTCAGTCGGAGTTGTTCCAGGACGATCTATACCCGGACACGGCCGGAGACATTCCCTCTCTTACGGCCGATGAATGGTTCTCTGGCAAGAATGCAGACCCCATACTGGTAGGTGGTCACACACTGGGAGGGGAGGGGAGGAGAGGGCAGGAGAGGTGAGGGAGGAAGGGGAGGGGAGGAAAGGGAGGGGAGGAGGAGGGGATTCCCTCCCTTACGGTTGATGAATGGTTCTCTGGAAAAAATGCCGACCCCATACTGAGGTGGTCACACGCACAGGAGGGGAGGGGAGGGCAGGAGAGGGGAGGAAAGGGAGAATGAGGACAAAATGGGGAGATATTCCCTCCCTAACAGGCTAAACAGCCAACGAGTGGGTCTCTGGCAAGAACACCGACCCCGTACTTGTACGTCACACACGCAGGAGGGGAAGGGAGGAGGGGAGAAGGAAGAGGGGGAAAAGGAAGACATCCCCTTTCTTAACGAGTTAACATCTTTACAAAGCTAAAGTACATGTAGATGCATTTTGAAACATGCATCCAACTAGTAAAAATTACCGACGTACAAAAAATTCTGAGCACATTATTACCTACCAGGCATAGCCAGGTAAGTCGAATCGTTCGACCGCAAAATATCATGCTTGCTAGATTTCACAGGTATGAATAATTGCCGGCTGACATCCTTAGACGTTCGCTTGTTTTCAGATCTCTCTAAAAGGCGGGTACAAGTCGACACAGAAGCCTCAGGAGCTGAAACTTACGAAGCGATCGAACATCCTCGACAAGATGCCAAATAACAAGTTTGCCTCGACGCAGGTGAGGCTAACCAGCCAACTAACGAGAGAGTTGAATTCACTTTTTTTGCTAAAAGATGGGGAGTAAATGCAATATTTAACATCCAAAATTCCTTGCGATTTTCGCACTGACAGCACGTGGCACTAGTTTTCTACCCCTGTAGCATTTTTACGTTTAATATTGCGAATGTGAAAAAAACGGTTGGATGGAGGTTTTAATCACGTGGATTTGCAATACAGAAAACCTCTTGTGAGACTCGTGGCCATTGCAAAGTTTTTTCCATTTGATCATATTATTATTTGATCACCAATAATATTATTCCAATTATTGTGATTATTATTATCATTTGTATTATATTATTGTATCCCTCGCGACGAAGTCAGCGGGGATACTATGGTTTTATGTCTGTGCAGCCGCCGCAGACACTTTCCCTTCCGCTCTATAACTCGACCCCTAATTGACCTAGCGCTACCAAACTTGGTATACTTACACATCTTGGGGAGAAGGTGCGCAGCGTACCAAAACCAGGTCACTACAATCTTTATTTGACCTTTACCTTGACCTTGATTATATATCCCTTCCGCTCTATAACTCGGCCCCTAATTGACCTAGCGCGACCAAACTTGGTATACTTACACATCTTGGGGAGAAGATATGTCGCGTACCAAAACCAGGTCACTGCGACCTTTATTTGACCTTTACCTTGATCTTGATCATATTTCCCTTCTGCTCTATAACTCGGCCCCTAATTTACCTAGCGCTACCAAACTTGGTATACTTACACATATTGGGGAGAAGGTGCACAGCGTATCAAAACCAGGTCACTGTGACCTTTATTTGACCTTTATCTTGACCTTGATGATATTTTCCTTCCATTCTATAACTCGGGCCCCTAATTTACCTAGCCCGAGCAAACTTCGTATACTTACACATCTTGGGGAGAAGGTGTGTCGCCTACCAAAACCCCTAAGGTAACCAATTTTAACATACTTGCACATCTCAGGCAGATGAGTTGTGTAACAAACCTTTGTCTTTGTGACTTATTTTAACTTTACCTACCTTCTACGTCCTTACAGGGATATTTCATTCATACTAGATCACGGGGGATACATGTAGTTGGCGACAACTGCCCTTTCTAGTTATTATAAGTATTATAATTATTACTATTATCATTATGAAGTAACTAATTATTTTGTTAATTATCTGTATTATTATTCAGTCGGGTGAGAAGTCCGAGGAGCTTGCTAAGGAGGTGAAGGAGCTCAAGGACACGGTGCGTAGGCAGGACATGCGTCTCCGCCGTCTCGAAGAACGACTCGAGGCACTAGAGCGCCTCGATAACGGTCTCGTGTGAGACACACCCACCGACACCGAGGCAGTTTTTGGCGCGGAGTCATGCTCTGAACGTGAGATGGACTCGTCGCGTCCCCTATTTGTCGAGGGAGAGCGGACGACGGGAAGCATCCTTCCATCCCTCCCGTGGACTGACAGGCGCGCCGCCAGCGCCATCTATAGTCGTGTAACAGTAGCAATTTTTATTTTTCTCGAGGTAGTCAACGATCTCTCTTGCGTGTCAGGTCGCTCCCAGGAACAGAGACGATCGTCCCCCTGCGCCACACGATCAGTATATTTTCATCGATTTTGATCCGAATCTTGAGTGTCTTCGTCCTGTTCTGTCCGCGTGTTTTTTTCTCACCATGACGGCATTCGAGCGGAGATACAGGGTGCGGCGTCGGACGAACAAAAGGGCGTATTGCCAGATAAAGATTGTTCGATTCGTCGTTAGATTTTACTTAGCATGCCAAAGGTTTTTTTATAACTGTTCGTTGGGGGTCCCGGGAGAGCTGTGCGTGCGCGTAGATGTGAGATCACCGAGACATGCAACGACACTCGCAGAGACGCGCGCAAAGTTAACAAAGAATTCTGCCGGTCGCACTAAATTAACGATGCTGGTGCATAATTTACTCGTATGCGTGCGCACCGTCCCTCGCTCGGTAAGCCTTCTCTCTACTCTAGTCCTCCACTAGTGACGTGCCTTGTATTTATAAAAACTCGAGTGAGGTTTGCGCGCGCACGCCCGCGCAAAGGATCCGCCTGCTGGGTCAGCGCGTGTAGCCAACGCTTTCGTTTCTACAGCGACGTAACACACGCACACACACAACCTTACCCCGCCGATCGCACCCTCGTGAAATTATTTGCCGTTGTGAATTTCACTTTGCCATCAGCTCTTTTCGTCTCCCGGGCGTTTACAATGCAGTTGCGGCGATGGTGGCGTCACCTGGTGTGCTCGTCGTTGCCTAGCAACTGCCGTAAATGGCGCCGACGTGTGGGCGTGCGTGTATATAGCTATATATATATATCTAGCTCTATATATATATATATATATATATATACATATATACGCGTGGCGTGGTATTGGTCGAGCGTGTGTACAGTGAGTCTGAGAGAGGAAACTGCTGAGCAGTGTGTCAGGATGGGGAGAGAGCGAGCGGGGGTGCCACGGGCGGGCGGGCGGCACATGTGACTCCACGCTCCCCACCGCCCGTCGTTTTTCGTTTGCTAGTTCCCCCGTAGCGCGCATGCAATTTTTCTCGACATCGTTTTTTCACCGTTGTCATTCGAGTCGTCCATTTGGCGATTTTTCAGCGGGGATTTTATTTTTCCAGGTCTGTGCAATATCTCATGTGCCACTCGTTATCGTCCTCACGGTGGATTTTACCTATTTAAATTTTTTTTCTAGAATGTACAGTGTTAGCATATAGTCACTCGAACTCGGGTTCTCTCCCTGATTTCATTCGTAAATATAGCAAATTCTATAATAATACCAAAGAGATCTTTTTTTATGTAGAGAGAGAGCGAGAGTGCGTGTGAGAGAGAGAGAGAGAGAGAGAGAGAGAGAGAGAGAAGAGAGAGCATAGTGTAAGCAATGATCTAATGCGCGCATCATGATTGTTAGTTCTATACATGTTCCTTGCTGGATTTTATTTTCTCTGTAGTGAGTACAGAGGTCACGTTGACGTCACGGCACGATGACGTGTGCAATACGTCTCTTTGTCGCTACTGTGAGCGCCTGAATCATTTGCTAGTACAGCACCTGCAATACAGTATAGTACAATAGAGTGCCTACATGTACAATAGAGTGCCTACATGTACAATAGAGTGCCTACATGTACAGTACAGTACAGTACAGTAAAGTACAGTAGACTACTGTACTGCTACAGTACCTACATGTTCAGTACAGTACAGTACAGTAGACTACTGTACTGCTACAGTACCTACATGTCCAGTACAGTACATTGCGTCTGTGTATAGTGAAATGATTTTTTTATTGTGCATATTTAAAATGCAGTCAAACTCGTGTCCACGTTCGCCTGTCTACAAAGAGCTCTTCTGAGTGGCATACAATGAAACCACCTTTATAGAACGACCACTTGTTCGCAGTGGCCACTTTTGGTTTACCCTCGAGTGGCCGCTATATGCAGGTTCGATGCTGTACATGGGTTCGTGATATTACGAGTAGATTCTGGCACGAACATATGTATGCTACCTAGCTCTTGATGCTACGTATCTATCTATTTATATACATAGAGGATCATACATATGTTCACGACCCTAGTCAGCTATATAGTTTTCATTTCTTTATGTGAAATGAACAATTGATCTCTCTGCTAGAATGCGTGCATGTGAGTAAGGGGATCAGCTGTAGCATGATATACATATATATGACCCCCTTCCTACTACAAGTCCCTCTCTACATTTCGCATGAGCGATAAAGCGGCTCATGCGCAGCGTAGAGGGGGTCGTTCGTCATAGCGGGGTTGTATACCATGCTATACGGGCCCCCGTACTGATTCTCTGGTCTGTTACTGTGCCTCGGGTGCGGGGCTCGTAGCACTGTGAAACCATCTTGGGATTATTTCTCCGTTTAGAGAGTAAGTAAAGTATAAGCATATAATTACATAAAATATGCCGCTTTTTGTACATTATCGATGGTGCCCGTAGCCGTTAGCTTTCTTATATATCTATTCATATCCATACGTGCAATTTCCTTTTTGGCGAGAGCGCCACGCTGTTCTATAGCGTGTTGATGAAGTTGAGAATAATAAAACAGCCGTAGTTGACATTTGCGTGTTTTCGGTGACGTAATTTGTGACGTGACTTTCGTGTTTACGCGTGTCACGCCCTGCTAGGGTTCCTGGAAGTTTCTGTTGCGGTGCGAAGGACTGTGGACGAAGAACTACGTAATTAACCGCCCACCCTCACTTCCAAATTGTTGTTGTTCATATATATATTGTCCTATGGCTCTTTCTGTTCGCCTCTTCCGTCTGTTATTAAATCCACCATATACTAGTGTAACGTACGTTTTACACGTGTAGTTATTAGAAGCTAGACTACAAGGAAAACTAGTTTCATTGCAACAGTAGCACATGTAGCGTAGCGGTTTTCCAGGAGTTTTTTCATTTAGCAATAAATTGGTAGGCGAGCGGGTGTATTGATGTCTGTAGTGGATACTTATTCGGAGTATTGCCAGTCATTTAACAATAAGTTTTTAATCGGTAGTGTGCAGGCGGTTTCTCGAAATGGTGAGATGGTAAATGTTGACATGTGTGGACATGGGTAGCATCTTAATAGCGGGTATAACCTATTTATTTGGCCGAACACAACTCTGTAGTATTCTGAATTTTCTATTCTAAATCCTTATTATAATAATATATTTTATACATATAAATCCTTATTATTATATACAAATACATATGTGTTTCAAAGCACTAACACGAGCTGTGTTTGAACGTCTTCACACGCCATTATTGCCATTATTCGTTATTATATATTATCGGTTTATTCTCCGATATACTCGCACGTAAATCTACCGCTAGATGGCAGCAGGTCGTAGGCCCGTCCGTCTCGTCTGTCGTCGTGGCGTGCAGCGGGGTCGTGACCTTGACCCGTGACCGATGCTTAACCGATAAACACGCTCGTACACGCATCGTAATTACAAGCTTCAAGCGTAAAATTACACGATTTTATGGTCCCATCTTTAGGCGGGACGTCTCTCGCTCTCTGGCTCCCCTATATCTTTCTCTCACTTTCTCTCCTCTTTCTCTCTCCCGCTCTCTGGCTCTCTGTCTCTCCCCCTCTCTCTTTCTTTCACTTTCTCCCCCTCCTCTCTCTCGCTCTTTCTCGGGCGCGCTCTCTTGTTTTTTCTCTTTCTCGCCGCATTCCTTACTTCCTCACTCTTCACTCTCCCTCCCCATTTCTCTCTCCCCCTCTCCCTCTTCTCTTCTCTCTCTCTCTCTCTCTCTCTCTCTCTCTCTCACTCGCTCGCTGCACCTGCTCCCTCCCTCCTTCCGAAGACCATAATCACGGCTTCCACGAATATCGTAAAGCACGCGACGCTACGTGGTCGTATAAAATCTTCAAAACCTGAATGAGCTTTTTTATTCGCTCACTTTCTCGTCCACACATCCGCGCGTGTCTGTCTCACCCTCCGGTACCTCACCCCGCCCCCACACGCATGTACGTACACACACACACGCACACACACACACACAACCACACAACACACACACACACATACAATACATGGCGTTCGTAAAATGCTACGCGTTATATGCGTAATATGGCTGTGGGTTTCTTACGTATGTGGGCTATATCTGTGTACTCATGGCGGTAATAGCAGTCGCAATGTTTAAGACAAAGAGAATATATAGAAGCATACACACAACACACACGATCACAAAACACACAACACACACACACACAGCACACACACACACACACACACACACACACACACACACACACACACACACACACACACACACACCACACACCAGTTCACACACTCACACACGCACACACCACACACACACACAACAGCACGCAACACACACACACCACACACACACACCACACACAACACACCACACACAACACAACAACACACACCACACACACCATAGATATATATATATAATATATAATTCAGAGTAGTAATAGAGAAGCCGCTTATTATCTAACTTCGTACCTATATATATATAATAATATATATTATATGATATATTTAGAAGTAAGAACACACGGGACACCCGTGCAAATATGAAAATAAATGCTAGAAAATAGAATGGGTGTTAAATCCTAATCAGCAGCTCAGAAGAGAATTACTCTCTTTCATTAGTCTATCAGGTTGTCATTTTATAGCCTGATAAGAGAGGTAATTTCGAAAACTTATGCTGATCTAAAAATTACTCTATTTTTCTAATCTTATATTGTAATATAATGATATATAAATATAGTAATATATATACTATATATTATATACAAGCTATACATATGTACATATTGTAATTAGGCTGCATGATGAGCAGCAGTGTATAGGACTATAACGCTAGAAAACTAACGAGCGACTAACGATAAGAAAACACGACGCGTGCGAGCAGCAGATAAGCTGGACCGTAACTAGCAGTAACACTATATAGCTGGGGTCGCAGGTGAGGTGCAGGTGAGGCAAAGACGCCGGGGGGACAGGCTCTGATCACCAGTTTCCTAAATCGCGAAAAGCACTAGCCCCAGGTGCGCAGCTCACTACACAATACAATAGTGTTGTGTGAATCCGGTGTCTGGGTGTGTGTGTGCGTGCGTGCGTGCGATTGCGTGCTGCGTGTGTGTGTGGCGTGCCGTGCGTGGTCGTGTGTGTGGTGTGGTGTGGTGTGTGTGTGTGCTGTGTGCTGTGGATGCGCGTATGTGCTTGTGTGTGCTGTGTGTGTGGTGTGTGTGCAGTGTGATGTGTGTGGTGTGCGTGTGTATGTGTGTGTGGTGCGTGCGTGCGTGCGTCGTGGTGTGCTGTGCGCGGTCGTAATGCGTGTAAGTTGGTGCTGTGTGCGGATACGTGCATGTGCGCGCGTGTGCTTACGATCATAGAAATATATAGAGACACTATATAAATATATAGAGTCTGACTCTAACCTAGTCAATATTATTTCTATGGTTGCGATAGCTATTGCGACAAGTCATTGTCTTCTACCTGTAAACTAACGCAGCCGCAGTAACCGCATGCTGGCGTCTGGCTTCTTTTTGTTGTTTGTTGTTTCTTGGGGGCATTGGGAAATCGGTATTGGGAAATACGATGATGTTGTTTAGTCGGTAGTTCGTGAAAACCCACGGGGACGTAAGCAAGCGGAACCGTGCCAATTAAGTGTACAATTAATTCAATTTAATTAATCGGATATGGGAAAAATGGTAATGATGAAGTTTTTCCATACGATCGAATTAACGCTAACCCGCGCGGGTTGACCGTGTGCCCTGATGTGCCGCTGCTATATTCTCTTCTCTCTCTCTCTCTCTCGCTCTCTCTCTCCCGTCTTCTCTCTCTCTCTCTCTTTTCTGTCTCTCTTGCTTTCTATCTATCTTCCTCTCGCTCTCCTCGTCTCTCTCTCTCTCTCTCCCCCCCCCCCTCTCTCTCTCTCTCTCTCTCTTTTCTCTCTCTCTCTCTCTTCCTCTCGCTCTCTGTCTCTCTCGCTTTCTATCCATCTATCTGTATCTCTCTATCTATCTCCCTCTCACTTATTCTTTCCTCCTTTTTCTTTCCCTCCTCTCTCTTTCTCTCTCTCTCTCTCTCTCTCTCTCTCTCTCTCTCTCTCTCTCTCTCTCTCTCTCTCTCTCTCTCTCTCTCTGCAGTTTACGCGCGCGTGGTGCGTGCGAACGTGTACAACAACATTATGATACCGGATTCCGGTTATGATGACGTCGTAAACGTTCCGAACGATCGGTTCTGTAGCGATCAGAAAAGAGATGTTACTCGGAAAAACAGTCCGTCATTAAAAAATAAATATGAATGAATATACCAGTTTGTTTTTTAACAATGCATTGCACATAATATATATACATTGCAATGCATTGTCCACCATGGCACAATAAATATACTCGGTGTTATCGCTCCAGGAAACCATATCGTCATAAAATAATGATGTGAAAAGGTTTCACATCTCTGTTCTCCAGAACGCTGCACAGCCTCCCACGCACGCACACGCCACACATACATACCACACACACCAACGTGCGCACGCTCCCACTCACGCGACACGCACACATACTCCCACACACGTGCGCACGCGCTCCACGCGCGCACACCGCACACACACACGCCACACATACACACGCACGCGCGCACGCTCCCACGCAGCGCATACGCATCGCACGCACAACACAACACACACACACACCAACACACACACACACACACACACACACACACACACACACACACTCCACACACACAAACACACAAACACTGAGGCGGGGTGAGTGGTGGAGAAGTGATAGAGGGAGTGGGGCGGCAGGTTAGGGGAAGAGGTGAGGGGGAGGTGAGGGGAGGGAGGGAGAGGAGAGGGAGAGTGAGGGGAGAGGGTGAGGGGATAGAGGATGAGGGGAGGAGAGGGGAGGAGAGGGGTGAGGAGGGAGAAGGGAGGAGAGGGGGAGGTGGGAGGGGGGAGGTAAGGAGTGGTGAGGGGAGGTGAGGGGAGGTAGAGAGGAAGGTTGAGGGGTGGTGAGGGGGAGGAGGTGAGGGGCGGCGAGGGGAGTGAGGGGAGGAGGTGAGGGGTGGTAAAGGGGTGTGATGGGGGTGATGAGGGGGAGATGAAGGAGAGGAGGTGAGCGGGTGTGAGGGGGAGGAGGTGAGGGGTGGGTGAGGGGGAGGTGAGGGAGAGGTGAGGGAGAGGAGGTGAGGGGTGGTGAGGGGGTGATGAGGGCGGAGTAGGGGGGGTGCGTGAATGATAATGAGGGGAGGTGAGCGGGGGAGGATGGTGGAGGGTTGGTGAGGGGCGGTGTTGAGGAGATGGGAGGGGACACCAAACATAGGCTAAACTTCGCACAAGGCCTGTGCTGGTCTTCAAGTTCAGCTGAATGACTATCATGAAAGGGCGTTAAGAACTTTATTGGTGTGAGAAAACCAAGGCGGAGTAACTGAGCTTTACGTAAGTTGAGGGGGTTTATAATTTGTTCTTGGTAAACAAGATCGAGTTAGAGGCAGAAAAGGTTATATGTTATGATGAGGCTAGGCAAGATTTTAAAAAATGCGAGTGGTTCGATACACATTACTTAGGACGTATTAATAAAGGATAGCGG